ACCCATTATTCTTGAGAGGCATAGCCATAAGTGAATCATCAGATCTCTCTCCTGCTTATGAAGATAGATGACATATTTGAGTAAAGATGTGGCTTTTGTCTCTCATTCTCTCTCCCTCTCTGTGAGAGAATCTCATTTATAGCAAGAATTTATTCATGGCTACAGAATAAAAGAATATTAGAGCCATATACGTGTGTATGTGTCTATGTATAGTCACTACTCATAGTGACAGTGATGCAACCGTTTAATTCTAAATATAGATAGGAAAGTATGTGACCATTAAAAAATATCTACGGATACTTTTTGGTTTATTATGTTCAGATTATTTGTGTGTGTGTGTGCAAAAGCCTTTGCTATGGATGCTGTCATTCTTGTGTTAGTGCTTGTGGTTCAGCATGTTAATTGTTTGGATCATTTCTATAGTGCATCATATAACTGAATTGGAATGGTGGATTTCAGAACTATACCTCAATTTCTGGAAAAAAATAATCTAGGAGACAGTGAGTACAGCCTGTGAAGTAGTGTGCCACTATGATTATAACAAACAGACAGAAAATCCAAAAATCAACAGTAGGTTCACCTTAGATTATGTGGGACTGTATTTTTTAAAAAAAGATTTGGTTGAGTTTTTTATAATTTAGCAGCTGGGGCCTATTTTTTTAAAAAATACAGATTAGATAAAATGTAAAATAAATTGGAATTGTCTCCACATGCTCCAGATAATTTGAGAAGTCAGACACACCTTCTGTTATTTCTTTTGGCTACTTTTTAAACAACTCTTACTATATTAATCCAGTTTAACTCCAATGAGAACAAAAAATTTGGAAACTATTTTCCCATTTACATGCATTTTTGATGTCAGCATTGTCTAGGCTTTCCACTTCTTCATTCTTGTCTACTTCCCTTTCCCTGTCTTGCTTATTTATAGTACAAGACATGCAATGATTGGAGCACATCAGCCCATGCTTTGCTTCCCTTGTATCTCTAATCCTATGAGTGGGATTCACACGATTAAAGTTAGGTGCATTAGCAAATTACCTGGCTGAATGGAGACAGTGAATATCAAGAACAACTCTTCTTAGAAGAAAGATAGTATGTGTCTAATGCACAGGGAGGCAAGTACAGGAGGTAGAATGATTTTAAGATGTCCGAATTTGAGGAATTCAGGTTAAGGTTTCCATGGTGATGCTATCTTCATCCACTTCCTTATGAACTTGGGCCTCTGCTGAGTTCCACCCACATAAAAGGACAGAACAGGGCCAAAAGTTTTTGCTATATTTCCAGGTAAGTTACAACAGGAGACATGACTCCATTCAACTTAATGCTGGTGTTCTGCATCCTAACATGCCAAAGTATTAGTTTTTCCTTTGATGTCCTTTCCATTTCCTAATGTTCATTTCTCAAAGGAAAACCTTGATTCAAGAGTGCTAATAGGAAAAAAATAGCATGTTTTATGCAAGACATATATATTCTTTAATATAGGCAACATGAGCTCAGAGCAATATCCACTGAGCAGAAAGGCGGCTTATGCCATTTCTGCATCAGGACAATTCTGAGGTCAGGGCAAACAAATCTTTCTCCAGTTGTTTTAATTTGAACTTTGCTACCCATGGCCCTAAGCATCCCTGGAGAATGGTGGATCTCTGGCCCCTTTCTTGTCCTGTTTTACCCTCTAGTCATCTGCTCAGGAGAGCACAACCTAACAGACAATTTGAACGGCTGGCGTGGTAGAAAGAGGGTGCCATAGTGGTAACAATTTAAACCAAAGCTCTTTAGTTCAAGGCAAAGTAAGTAAACATTTCTAACCATGTCACCTCACTCTGCAGACTGCTGTGATTTCTCGTTTCCTCTACTACACAAAGCATAAGCTGCTTGCTTCCACTTTCCAGTTTCTTTGTGGCCTCTCTCTGCCTAGACAACCTGCAGCTGTACACTTCCTAGCAGATGATGTCCACTTCTGCTGGTTCTGGTTGTGGGCATCCTTCACCCACATGTTACATTTTCAGCCAAGTCCCTTTGGGTTCCCATCCATACCTCTGCACTCACATATGGGAAGAATTTCCTACAAACATCTGCAAAATCACTTCATTGTCCTCTGTCTTATTCCTCTCTAACTCACTACCTACAAACAGCCTGAAATCAGCCAGACTGCTGGTGTGCTAAGGCAACCACCTGTTATACCAATCAGTTTTGGTTTTTTGTTTCTTTATACTCCCTTACACCCTTTTATCCCTTATCTGTCTCTTGCTTTGATTATTAGATCCTTGGAGCCAACATCTAATATGATAGATCTTAATCTATGGTTAGAACCAACTCTGATGTAACAGACACCATAAAAATGAATGAGGCTGTTGTGCAGGAAATGTGCATCGTCATGAAATGATATCAGATGTGACAGCACTGTCACAAAATGCAATCACTGCATAAAATACTGATCTCCCTGACTGGTCAAAACTCTTTGACTCCTGTGAAACCCAGGATATTGCCCTCTGTTGTTAAATCTTCAGCTAGACACATGTTTTTGAGTAATCTTTTTAATTCATCATCAGGGATCAGAAACCTGACTCTTTAAAGTGATTTTGATAGTATCATTACCTGTTGGCCGCTGTCTTATTGTATCAGGTCTTCCTTCTCATTTCTCATCTACGTGTTCTGAAGTGCAGAATGATGTGTGTGTTTGTATAGTGACAAAAATATTTATAATGGTTGTCAATAATTAATAATTATTGACAGTGAGAATATTACATTAAGCGTTCTGTCAGAATGAATCTATAAATTACAGGAGATTACGCTGATGAGTGTTTTGCATTTATAATCTTATCTCAAGCAAAGCAAAACAATCCTTCTAGAAACATTGCTGTACAATCCAAGCTGGCCAAACCCAGCTTTGGAGTTCAAAAATGCCCACTCATGTTTAGGCTAAATATTCAATATTTCTGCTCTTTGTTTCCTAAATATAAATAGCCATCTGGAGGAAGATTCTTCCTAGGATCATGCACATCTTAAACTGAAAAAATGAGAAACGTTTCTGAGAAGTGAGAAATGCTCTGTGATGTGAACATGCTGCTTCTCTTAACCCATTATTGGTGTTTGACTTTTTTGTTCATTTTACAAGAAGCTCAGGGTGCTCAGATCATGAGAACATATCTTTCCTTTTCCTTTCCATTTCTTCTTTCCCTTTTTCCTCCAAAAGCTTCGAACTCCACTGACATGCCCTTGACATTATTTAAAAGCACTTTTTGACAGTCTCATCATGAGGGACAGGGCTGTTCTTTTTCAAAAGCAAAACTTACACTTATTTTAGAGACCGTAAGCTACGGCCCGCATTCCACTCGAGCTTTCCCAGGTGTGAGAATGGGTTCACAGAAAGTTCAATTGTTCACAGCGAAATTGGAAAATGAAAAGGAGCGAGAAAGAAGGGGTGTCTCCCCACCACACACGCGCGCTTCTCCCCCCTCGCCCCACGAGTGTGCAGACCGTACCCCATGCACATCGGCAATGGACCCGGCGAGGCTCTCGGCGCAGCATGCACTCGCGGAAGGGAAGGCAAGGCAGGGGACGGGAAGGGAGGGCAGGGGAAGGGGATGCCTTCGCACGGTCTGATCATCACCATAAAGAGTTAAAGAGAGAGTGAAATGGCTAACGTACACACACCCCGCTCCATACCGGAGAAGAGTCTCCCAGCTGAGGTTTATGCTCTGTGAGGACCAGGCTGAA